TTTATTTTCACCAAAAAGAACAATACAGGCATCCTAAACCTTAATTCAGTGCATTTCAGTTAAATTCCCTCCACCCCAAATGTGTCAGATTCTCCCCACTACTTCCAGTGCTGAAATCCTGTATCACTGTATCCTTTGCACTCCAGAAAGCACAACAAAAACCACTTGAAAATAATTCATTCACTCCTTCCCTAATTTTATATGATCAAAAGAGGGTTTAGGAATATTGTTATAGTATATAGTCTTTATCTAAATTGATAGATTAAAGCTATATATTGCCAGATAATTTTTCTTCACCAGCAATACACAGCAAAATATGACCTTTTCTTTGATCAGAGTAGCCCAGAATGATTCGTTGTCTGATTCTCCTCATTCTTTTTATGCACTTTTGTTCTGTTAGGTACTATGGTATGGGAATAGCAAGATAAGAATGTGGTAATCGTGCTCTGGAGAAAAAACATGAGCAGAAATTAAAACTTGAATTGCCAAGTCAGTCCAGCAAATAATGGTGAAAAAAAACTCTGACTTTGTATTCATTTTCCGTCTATAAATAAACTTATTCCGAAATAGCCATGGGGTTAGTGATGAGGTTTGAAGCTGACTAAATGTTACAGATTGAATAGGACTCCATTTCTTAATTCTGGAACTGTGTTTTAAGCTACTAGAACTTTTAAGAGAACCTGCAGATTTACTGCATTGAGCCTATTCATTGCTTGCTGGGGATGGGTAAAAGTGCAGACTTAGGCATATTTTAACAGCTTAGAACAGGGTGTCAAACTCAATTTCATTGAGGGCCACATCAGGGCTGTGTTTGACCTTGGGGGGCTGGGGTGGGCATGGCTGAGGTGGGCGTGGCCAGCTCAACATCACTCGTGTAGTGGCCTGAGTGCTCTAACAGGCTCCTGAGCTCCATTTCTGGCTGCAATGGCCTCCTGCAACCCTCTGCCAGCGAAAACAGAGTTTGCTCTCCCGAGCTCTGTTTTCTCTGACAGAGGCACCATGGGCCAGTTCTTTGCTGTTTCCACGGTGGTCCTATGGGCCATATCTAAGCACCCCTTGGGCTGGATCCGATCTGTATGCCTTGAGTTTGACACCTATGGCTTAGAGCAATATTTCTAAATCTTAATTAGTTTAAGATGCCCAGAATTCCCCAATCAGAATTGGAAAATTGAAGTCCACAAATCTTAAAAGTTGTTGAGGTTGAGAAATATTGAATTTTGAGAAATCAACATCCCACTTATTAAACGTTATGGGAAACAGGGGTGGAATAGCACTTGTGGAAGATTAGAGAGATGTTGAAGGAGGGGAATGAATTTTAAAACAATTTTAAAAGAAATACAGTGCTTGATTCAGAGTATGTTGGTATTTTGACTGAATTATTTTAATGAATTCAGACCAACTAACAATGTTAAGTACATGCAACTTATGAGTGAAAATGAAAGAGAAGATCAGTTTTAAATTGTATCACTGATAAGGCATATAATAGAATGTGATCCACCTCTTGACTGAAATTTAAATTGATATGGGATTATGATATAAACGGGATTATATAAACCCGTTTCTTTCAAATCTTATTTGTAGCAAAGCAGCATGAAAATCCATTTCCTTCTAACTACAAATATTTTTGTTTCCTTTCATTTTAGTTAACCTACATCAGCAAATCAAATGAGTGGTTTTAGTGACACCTGTTGTTCTGTCAATGCAATCTCCCATGTAAAAAAATAGTATTAGTTGTAACTAAGGGGTTTGTTGCCAAGGATTGCGCTGATATCTAGGTCAGTAGTTGGCTGTTTGTTTTATGTCAATGGTGTTGTGGCACAAAGGAGTTAAGCTTTTATAGCTGTACTCAAAAGTGTTATTTTTTGTCAGCTTCAAGTTTTAGCATGATGGCTTAATTGCTGTATAGATCTTACATATACTGATTTTGCAATAAAAGTTAGCAGAGAACAAAAAAAATGTTTGGAACACACCAGGGTAATAAAAGAATAAAATACATTGAATCTTTTTTTTAAAAAAGAAACCTTGCTTATATTAATATGCATCCTCTGTCCTGCTTGAATTGATTGTTGGTGGTGCTGTGCACTACAGAAGGAGTTCCAGATCCTTGAGGGAATGCTTCTAAATTGATGCCTTTCAACTTTTGTAGTGATGAGAGCCTTTTCTAATCAGTTTCTTTACTGCACAGGACCTGATGGTTTACTCTGAAGTCTTATCCTCTGCAAAGAATTAATTATAGGAGACCTCAAAAGCTACAGAGCAGCCTGGTGCTTATAGAGGTGAAAAACTGCACAAAATCTGAGTCCCCCCCAATGTATTTTATGCTCTCCTGTAATGTTAGCATTTCCTGTAACACAGATTAAAACTCATAATTTTTATGGTTATTTAAAATATGAATGCAACAGGAAGGTTTTATGTGGTGAAGAAAACCTCTGACTTCGAATGATCCAGAATTCTGGATCAGAATTAATATTGGTTTGGAGAGAATACTTGTGTTGGCTTTTCCTGTCCCAACTCTCAACCAATGGTCAAGTGCCTCAAATATAGGGATCTAAGGTAGATATCTCAAGAATTTATACTGGTGGTCAGTATTGGTAGAAAGTACTCTAAATCCTATTTTTGGATTTGTCTTTAATAAGGACCTGGTAAGGCAGGAGCAATGCTGTAATATATTTCAGAAGGGACCACAAAAAGAATAACAAAAATACAGTGTATGTATATATCAATTGACTAATGTTTCTGTATTGAATGATTTTGGTAGTGTCAACAAGTGATTGCTCCTATTGTGTTTACTGCTCTAAAATTATTTGCATGACTTCTGCTATATTAAATTCCTTAAGAAAGATATCTATCTCTAACCATATATCTGTCTATACACACACACACACATACACATACACATATAGTCAGCCTGCAAAACATTCTTGTCAGATTAGCCATGTTTTGTGCGAATTGTATATTACTGTTGTGAGCAACAATGATATATGATCTTTAATTAATTGTTGGAATTAAAATATGTTTTTATGGATAAACCTGTCTTGTGTGTTCAGACAGCAAAACCCTATATTCAATGTTAGCTATTGATTTTACAGTTTCACAAAATATAGAAAATATTTTCATTTTCATTGGATCTGTAGACACATTTTACATTGGCTTATGACTTTAGTGTGCCATGTCAATCCTAGATATCATGGTTAAATTATAATTTAACAAAACACAGGCTAACCCAGTGAGTGAAAGGAATTGGAACACATTCTCATTCAGAACTCTTTTAAGGGAAGTCACAAAAGGAGACATGAACGATGGGAAAACACAAAGAAGAAAGAAAAAGTAAGAAAGAGAAGCAGGAAAACAGACACAGCCATTTTTAAAGCCTTGGTTTGTGGTATCATAATTGGCTGAGTTTGCAGAGCACAGTAAGCTAAATATCAGTTTCAGCAAGAAAACACTTTAGGTCTGTTTACACCACAATACATATTAGTATGAGATGTGCTATGGTAAATTGAAATCTTATTCACCACAATTTCTAATGAACCATAAGTGTCTGCAACAGATCTCCATGACTACCTTTGCTGCAACAGATCTACATGACTAACATTCCACAAAATTAGACCCTTTGCTGGGTTTGCCATAACAATGTTCTGCATATAAACTATATTGTACCTCTTCAGTTTCTGAATTAGAGACAGTAGTTGCATGACATTTACAGTCTCCGGGGAAGTCAGATCAGATTTCAGCATTCAAGATTGTGCAGTGCCTTTATTAGAAACAAACAGCTTAGCTAAAAAGGGGGGATAAAACTTTCTTATGAAACATGTTAAGAAAACTACAATACTGTACACAAATAAATACAGGTGGTCCTCAACTTACAACAGTGGAGCCCAAAATTTATGTTGTTAATTGAGAAATTTGGTAAGTAAGTTTTGCCCCATTTTAAGACTTTTCTTGTCACATTTGTTAACTAAATCACTGCAGTTGTTAAATTAGCAACAGTTAAGTGTGTCTGGTTTCTCCATTGATTTTGCTTGTCCGAAGATTGCAAAAGATGAGGACTTGACTCTGGGACCCTGCAATCATCACGTGAGCCAGTTGTCAAAACATCCAAATATAATTCACATGACCATGGGGATGCTGCAACTGTAGTGTGAAAAATAGTCTTAAGTCACTTTTTTTTAGTGCCATTGTAACTTCGGTCACTAAATGAATTGTTGTAAGTCGAAGACTACCTGTAATTAAGAATGGGTTCAACGGCAACTTCAAATTAAATTAAAAATACCCAAAGATCGCCAAGTACTCAAGTCCCTAATCACTCATCAATTCTTGCAACTGTTTTTAGTTGGCCTTATACAGTATTTTCTGTTATATGTTTCCACCTGTCAGGTCATATTTGAGTTGGGTGGCCACATAAATGCTTTAAATAAGAAAACAAGTAAGTGTAAAAACAATCTTCCTATAGGTCAGAAAGCAAAACGGAAATCAGTCCCAAGTATAGTGGTAATTTAGACATGAGATTTCCCACGAGTTTTATTTAATTCTTTCCCTTTGTGCGGATGGGGGTGTAAGAATTGGAGCAGAGGTCTTCAAACTCGGCAACTTTAAGACTTGAGGACTTCAACTCCCAGAATTCAGCAAAGCTGGCTGAGGAATTCTGGGAGTTGAAGTCCACAAATCTTAAAGTTGCCAGGTTTGGGGACCCCTGAATTCAATCTGGTAAGAAGTCGAAGCGTGCACAATACACAAAGGAGCAGGCGAGTCGCTCCCCAGACACTTGCCCGCCCAGGTTGGACTTGAAGGGATTTTCCCTCCGGCCGCTCAAATGTCTACCAGTGACGTCGCGGAGTGGGAGGGGCGTTGCCGCGATCTCTTTTTTGATAGCGAAGGGGCGGAGACTCGTGTGTCGCTCTTTAATGACCTCACTCCCCCAGGGCCTATAGCAATATGGCGGGTGTTTGGCCTTCATGGAGACGTCAGCAGGGAGACTCTGTGGGCGGAACAGGAAGTCGGCAACGCACGTGTCTGCCTACGGGGAAGCCGCTTTCAGCTGCTCCGTATCCCGCTTGGAGCCATGAGTCGTCCCGTAACTTGTGTTGCCTGGGTGCCCCAAGGTGTTGCCAAGGAGACGCCCGACAAGGTGAGAGATGCGTCCCTCTTCTTTCCAGAGAGTCCCCCCCCCCCATCCCCTCGTTTCTGAGCTCCTATTAGACATTTCGGGTAGCAAAGCAGTGGATGCTTTCCGCTAAATTAGTCGCTTATGCAAAAGAAAGGCAATGTGGAAAGCGAAAAAAAGGGGAGGTAATTTGTATAAATTTCCACTTTGTCTCATCTCTGAAATGAGGCCAACCAAGTTCAAGAGGGCATGAACAACTTTGTGTGTGTGTGTGTGTATGTATATGTATGTATGTATGTATGTATGTATATATATGTGTGTGTGTGTGTGTTGTATTTGTGCTGATAAATAAAGGGAGACTAGTATAGATCTATTTCAAGTTATTTAGCTCTCATCAGCTAGCCATATATGTGTGTGTGTGTGTATGTATATGTATGTATGTATGTATGTATGTATATATATGTGTGTGTGTGTGTGTTGTATTTGTGCTGATAAATAAAGGGAGACTAGTATAGATCTATTTCAAGTTATTTAGCTCTCATCAGCTAGCCATATATGTGTGTGTGTGTGTATGTATATGTATGTATGTGTGTGTATGTATGTATATGTATGTATGTATGTATGTATGTATATATATGTGTGTGTGTGTGTGTTGTATTTGTGCTGATAA